ATGGTAGAAGGGCCTCCCCCAGTTGTAGAAGTATACCCCCAGATGTAGAAGGACTTTCCCCAAAAGGTAGAAAACCTCCCTGATGGTAGAAAAAACCTCCTAGATGGAGAATACCCCCCTAGAGGGAAAAATCCCTAGATGTTGAAGTCCCCCTAGATGGGGAAAGAACTCCCCGATGGTAAAACCCCCCTAGATGGGAGAAAATCCCCCGATGGGAAAGGACCCCCTAGGTAGAAAAACCCCCCTTGATGGGAGAGGACTCCCTTGATGGTAGAAGACCTCCCTAATGGTTAAAACTCCCAGTGGTAAAAGTACCTCCCCCGATGTAGAAGAAATCCCAGATGGGGAAAAGGCCTCCCCCAATTGGTAAAAACCTCCCTGATGGTAGAAGACTCCCAGATGGTAGGAGTACCTCCCCTCCTGTGGAGAAGCCCCAGATGGTAAAAATACCTCCTAGATGGTAGAAACCCCCCCCTAGATTTTTTTTAAGGGAAAGGGCCTCCTAGAGGGGTAAAAGGGCCCCCTGAAAAGGGAAATACCCCTAATGGTTTGAAGACCCCTAGATAGTAGAAGACCTCCCTAGATGGTAAAACCCCCCTAGTTGGGAGAAACCTCCCCAATGTAAAAACCCCCAATGTAGAATCCCCCTAGAAGGTAAAGGACCTCCCCAGATGGTAAAAAGGACCCCCTAGATGGTAGAAAAGGGAAAAATCCCAGTGGTAGAGACCTCCCTAGATGGGAGAAGACCTCCCAAAAGGGAGGAAACCTCCCTAGGGGAGAAAGAACTTTCCCTAGGGTAAAAACCCCCCCCAGATGGTAGAAAACCCCCTGATGAGAAACCCCCCCAGATGGTAGAAGGGAAACCCCGTGGGAAAAAACCCCTAGTGGGAAATACCCCCCAGATGGTAGAAGGACCTCCTAGATGGGGAAAAAGGACCTCCCTAGATGGTAGAAAACCTCCCTAGATGGTGAAACCTAGATGGAGAAAACCCCCCAGTGGTATAAAAAAACCCCCCGATGGTAAAACCCCCCTAGAAGGGAAAGACCTCCCTGATGGTTAAGGACTCCCGATGGGAGAAGGCCTCCTAGATGGTAGAAACCTCCCTGATGGGGGAGAAGACCTCCCTGATGGTGAAGGACCCCCTGATGGTAGAAACTCCCCCAGAGGTAGAAACCTCCCTAGATGGTAGAAGTACCTCCATAGATGGTAGAAGGACCTGCCTAGATGGTAGAAGGAGCTCCCTAGACGGTATAAGTACCTCCCTAGTTGGTAGAAGGACCTACGTAGATGGTAGAAGGAACTCCCTATATGGTAGAACCCCCCTAGATGGTAGAAGAACCCCCCTAGATGGTAGAAGGACCTCCCTAGATGTTAGAAATACCTTCCTAGACTGTAGAAATACCTCCCTATATGATAGAAGTACCTCCCTAGATGGTAGAAATACCTCCTTAGATGGTAGAAGTACCTCCCTAGATGGTAGAAATACCTCCCTATATGATAGAAGTACCTCCCTAGATGGTAGAAATACCTCCTTAGATGGTAGAAATACCTCCCTAGATGGTAGAAGTGCTACCCTAGATGGTAGGAGTACCTCCCTATATGATAGAAGTACCTCCCTAGATGGTAGAAATACCTCCCTAGATGGTAGAAATACCTCCCTAGATGGTAGAAGTGCTACCCTAGGTGGTAGGAGTACCTCCCTAGATGGTAGAAATACCTTCCTAGACAGTAGAAATACCTCCCTATATGATAGAAGTACTACCCTAGATGGTAGGAGGACCTCCCAAGATGGCAAAGGTATCTCCCTATACAGTAGGAATACCTCACAAGACAGCATTAGTACCTCCCTGGACAGTAACACTACCTCCCTGGACAGTAGGACTACCTTGCTGGACAGTAGGAGTACCTTCCTGGACAGTAGTACTCCCTGGGCAGTAGAAGTACCTCCCTAGACAGTAGGAGTACCTCCCTAAACAGTAGAAGTACCTCCCCAGACAGGAGTGCCTTGCTAGACAGTAGAAGTACCTTCCTTAACAGTAGAAGTACCTTCCTAAACAGTAGAAGTACCTCCCTAGACAGTAGGAGTACCTCGCTAGACAGTAGGAGTACCTCCGTAGATAGCAGAAGTGCCTCCCTAGACTATAGAAGTACCTCCCTAGACAGTAGTACCTCCCTGGGCAGTAGAAGCACCTTCCTGGGCAGTAGATGTACCTCCCTGGGCAGTAGATGTACCTTCCTAAACAGTAAGAATACCTCCTCAGACTGGTCATAGACCGGGCTGCAAGGGCATTGACCCCTGGAACTATCTCCAGGAACTCTCTCCAGGTACCTTGCTAGAGTAGGAGTACCTCCCTGGACAGTAAGAGTACCTGCCTCGAGTGTTGAAGTACCTTGCTAGACTGTAGGAGTACCTCCCTAGACTGTAGGAGTACCTCACTAGACTGTAGGAGTACCTCCCTTGACAGTAAGAGTACTTGCCACAACTGTAGGAGTACCTTGCTAGACTGTAGGAGTACCTTGCTAGACCGTAGGAGTACCTTGCTAGACTGTAGGAGTACCTTGTTAGACTGTAGGAGTACCTCACTACTCTGTAGGAATACCTTGCTAGACTGTAGGAGTACCTTGCTAGACTGTAGGAGTACCTTGCTAGACTGTAGGAGTACCTCCCTAGACTGTAGGAGTACCTCCCTAGACTGTAGGAGTACCTCACTAGACTGTAGGAGTACCTTGCTAGACTGTAGGAGTACCTTGCTGGACTGTAGGAGTACCTTGCTGAACTGTAGGAGTAACTTGCTAGACTGTAGGAGTACCTCGCTAGACAGTAGGAGTACCTCCCTAGACTGTAGGAGTACCTTGCTAGACAGTAGGAGTACCTTGCTAGACTGTAGGAGTACCTACCTAGACTGTAGGAGTACTTTGCTAGACTGTAGGAGTACCTACCTAGACTGTAGGAGTACCTTGCTAGACAGTAGGAGTACCTTGCTAGACAGTAGGAGTACCTTGCTACACTGTAGGAGTACCTTGCTAGAATGTAGAAGTACCTACCTAGACTGTAGGAGTACCTTGCTAGACAGTAGGAGTACCTCCCTAGACTGTAGGAATACCTTGCTAGACAGTAGGAGTACCTTGCTAAACTGTAGGAGTACCTTGCTAGACTGTAGGAGTACCTACCTAGACTGTAGGAGTACCTTGCTAGACAGTAGTACCACCTTGCTAGACTGTAGGAGTACCTTGCTAGACTGTAGGAGTACCTTGCTAGACAGTAGGAGTACCTTGCTAGACAGTAGGAGTACCTTGCTAGACTGTAGGAGTACCTTGCTAGACTGTAGGAGTACCTTGCTAGACTGTAGGAGTACCTTGCTAGACTGTAGGAGTACCTTGCTAGACTGTAGGAGTACCTTGCTAGACAGTAGGAGTACCTCCCTAGACTGTAGGAGTACCTCCCTAGACAGTAGGAGTACCTCCCTAGACTGTAAGAGTACCTCCCTAGACTGTAAGAGTACCTCCCTAGACTGTAAGAGTACCTCCCTAGACTGTAAAAGTACCTCCCTAGACTGTAAGAGTACCTCCCTAGATTAAGAGTACCTCCCTAGACTGTAAGAGTACCTCCCTAGACTGTAAGAGTACCTCCCTAGACTGTAAGAGTACCTCCCTAGACTGTAAAAGTACCTCCCTAGACTGTAAGAGTACCTCCCTAGATTAAGAGTACCTCCCTAGACTGTAAGAGTACCTCCCTAGACTGTAAGAGTACCTCCCTGGACTGTAAGAATACCTCCCTAGACTGTAAGAGTACCTCCCTGGACTGTAAGAGTACCTCCCTGGACTGTAAGAGTACCTCCCTGGACTGTAAGAGTACCTCCCTGGACTGTAAGAGTACCTCCTGACTGTAAGAGTACCTCCCTGGACTGTAAGAGCACCTCCCTGGACTGTAAGAGTACCTCCCTGGACTGTAAGAGTACCTCCCTGGACTGTAAGAGTACCTCCCTGGACTGTAAGAGTACCTCCCTGGACTGTAAGAGTACCTCCCTGGACTGTAAGAGTACCTCCCTAGACTGTAAGAGTACCTCCCTGGACTGTAAGAGTACCTCCCTGGACTGTAAGAGTACCTCCCTGGACTGTAAGAGTACCTCCCTGGACTGTAAGAGTACCTCCCTGGACTAAGAGTACTCCTGGACTGTAAGAGTAACCTCCTGGACTGTAAGAGTACCTCCCTGGACTGTAAGAGTACCTCCTGGACTGTAAGAGTACCTCCCTGGACTGTAAGAGTACCTCCCTGGACTGTAAAGTACCTCCCTGGACTGTAAGAGCACCTCCCTGGACTGTAAGAGTACCTCCCTGGACTGTAAGAGTACCTCCCTGGACTGTAAGAGTACCTCCCTGGACTGTAAGAGTACCTCCCTGGACTGTAAGAGTACCTTCCTGGACTGTAAGAGTACCTCCCTGGACTGTAAGAGTACCTCCCTGGACTGTAAGAGCACCTCCCTGGACTGTAAGAGTACTCCTCCTGGACTGTAAGAGTACCTCCCTGGACTGTAAGAGTACCTCCCTGGACTGTAAGAGTACCTCCCTGGACTGTAAGAGTACCTCCCTGGATATTTACTGCCCACTAAACTACTACCAACTAAAATATTTATCATATGTTTAACAGTAAACAATAAACAAACTACAGAGTAAAGTATATGAATGTCTTAAACTGTGGAAGAAACCCTGGATGTGTGTAAGCATCATTCTTGCTTTCTCACTATCTTTACCATGTGTGCCACAGTAATTGACAAGTAAAAAAACATTATAATGAAAATAAAACAGATTTCTGAATATTTTTATAGTAAATATTTGTAGACACAACACTTGAAGAAAATGTTAAGACACAGTACCATTCTTTTTATCCAACACCTTCAGCCCTATTTATCCCAAAATCTTTAACAAAGTACACAGAAATACTACCAACTTGAGTACATGTACTAAAAACTAACATGTAACATTGTGAGTCAATACTGACCTACAGCTGGAAGAGGTGGAGCACCAGTACTGCTGCCACAGGCAGTTTGTTTAAGTGACGGCGGCAACGCTTGTGGTAGATTGAAACCTCGTAGTTTTAAATTAATGAGTTTACAAGCGATGCTGAACTCATGGAGATTCATCTTCCCATCACCATCAATATCAGACAAGGCCCTGAAGTACAGCATTTATCAAGAATTACAAGAATGAGCACGGTAGATTTTCAGTGACTCAACACAGTGTACAAAATGTTATAGTCACCAGGATCATTATCATTCATACAGTTACAATGTTACAGTCACCAGGATCATTATCATTCATACAGTTACAATGTTATAGTCACCAGGATCATTATCATTCATACAGTTACAATGTTATAGTCACCAGGATCATTATCATTCATACAGTTACAATGTTACAGTCACCAGGATCATTATCATTCATACAGTTACAATGTTATAGTCACCAGGATCATTATCATTCATACAGCTATAATGTTATAGTCACCAGGATCATTATCATTCATACAGTTACAATGTTACAGTCACCAGGATCATTATCATTCATACAGCTATAATGTTATAGTCACCAGGATCATTATCATTCATACAGCTATACAGCCTCTTCTCACTTAATAACGGAATTCCGTTCCTAAGTGTTACGAGTATGGCCATATCCATTATATTTTATAATAGGGTATGCTCCTGGATTATTTTATAACATATATGTTAAGGCTAATATTAATGCTAATATTGTATTATATTATGTTTTGTTAGTCTAAAATTAGGTGTTTTTATTTTAGTGGGAACCTTGGGTTTGGGGCGACAGTTACTAGTTTAGGTACTGAGTTCCTCAGTAAATTTTTCCCAAATTTACGTTGCTTTACCCCTCAATTTGGGACTGTTTAGTAGGTTCTCCCCGCCTTGCTTGGTTTTTTTTTCCACACCTTTCTCGAGTGGTCCCAAAAACCCATGACTAGCCTCTCACTTCTTGTCTGTTTTATTTCTAAGAGTTCTTTTGGGCATATACTATCCTTGCACTGGTTAAAAGTTTAAAACCCCTTTTTGGATAATTACTTCCCGCATCAATTGATTGCCTAAACCCCTAGACTGGGGGTTTGTTTTGACGTAAACTTTTGTCATAAACCCAAAAGGCCCGTACCTTTTAAATTCTTTTATGTTTAAAGGAAAAAAAAAATAAGTGATTTTGTTTGCTCTTTTTTTTAATTTAAAATTTGAGTTCATAAATATTTGAAGTTTCTATGTAAGTTTTATTGTTTTTTAAAGGAACCAAAATTTTTTTTTGAGGGTTTTTGGCCCCTCCCACGAAAAAAGGTTAACAAAGAAAAGTCCCTTTTTAAAAAAGGGTATATGGCTGCACTAAAACCCTTTTTACTATGGAGTTCACCTAGACAATAGCCCCAAAACCCAGCAAAAGGGTCCCAATTTTGAGGTTTAGTTGGGCCCCGTGTTTATCACTCCTTCCATAAAAACCTAAAAGGGCCCGTTTTTAAACAAATTTACACAAAATTGGGGGGCATAATAAGGTGGTAATGGGTTTTTGTCAAAACCCTCTTCGTTTTTGGTTTTTTTGTCACCTTTTTAAAGGGTTTTTTAAATTTTTGGTATATTTTCAAATGTTTTTTTACAGTTGTGTTTTTTTTTCATTGAAATTTAAAAAAAACAGAGGAAAACAGCTCTAAATTTTACTTTTTTTAAGCATTTTAAAAAAAATCAGAGAGCCCCGTCGCAAGGGCCCGGGGATCGTAAATGAGTACAGTTTTGGGAACCCCGCTTTTTTCAGTATTTCGCCCTTTGTGTTCTGTAATAAAGGGAATTTCAAATTTTGACCAAAAAATTTTCTATTTTTGGTCCCAGTCCCTTTTAATATGGCAAATTGCCCCCCCCCCGGGGTTTTTTTACTTATCTGTGAGAACATTTTCTCTATTATGGCTGGAAACTTTCCAAAATTTCAAGTGGGTTTTTTTTAAATTACTGCTTTTTTTATGTACACATGAAATTTAAATTTTGTGTACCCGTACCTAAATATACCCTTTCACCCCTGTTTTTGGAAAGAAAGGGACAATTTTTTAAAAACCCCTAAGAGTCTCTCTTCCCCTTGCAAACCCTATTAATTTAAAAATACGTTATTTTGGGGCTTTTAAAAGTCATATTTTCAATAATTTTAGACAACCCCATTAATCCTCGTTTCAGTCGACCTTTAAATGTGACTCCAATTTAAAGCCTTGGTTTTCAGAGGCCCACTCCCCCAACTTTCCTAAAATCTTTCCTGTAACGAAAATCAATTTGTGTATGAAAAGGGTGCAAAATCTTCCACCCCAAAAAAATCAAAAGTGGAGTTCAAAAGGAAGGGTTCCTTGGCCAAAACCTCTTTCTATCAATTAATGGGTCTTTCCCAAGGGATCACGCCTACCAAAAACCCAAATTTTTTGGGGATGGGAAATACAAACCGGGCTTTTCCCCCCCAATACACAGTCATACTTGGGAAAACCCTCATTGCCAAAAATTTCCCGGAAAAAAATTCCCCGCCCGGATGTTTACTAATAAAAATTACCTGAATTTCTAAAAACCTATTTTTTCGTTTGGAAAACCCAAAACTTTCAAAAGGGTCCAATTAAAATAAGGTTAAAAGGGTCATCAGGGTTTAAAGGGCTCACAGAGGGAAAATTTTCCCAGGAATCCCCTTGACGTTGCCTTAAGTTCCGGTCACAAAATACAACAAATCCCCCAAAAGAAAATCTCCCGACTGTAGGCCCTTTTTTTTCAAAAATTGGTTTTACATTCCACAAAACAATCTCCTGGGAAGGTTCCATTCACTAAATACCCTTTTTTCTTACATTTGAATTTTTTGCATGGGGATCAACAAAATCCCAAACACCTAAAACCCCCATTAAAACCCAGCCCAAAAGGCGCAGTAGAAATGTAACGGAAATTTTCCCCCTCCCGCCGCATACTCCCACCCCTTTTTTTAAAAAACTTAAATTTTCAAACCCTTAAGAACATTTTATATTATTCATGGGTCCCCACTAAATTTCACCCGAAAAATACGAAAATATTAAACCCCCCCATTTAAATTTTTCCCCCGCCCCAAACCCCAAAAAAGGGGGCAAAATGACCCCCCCACAGGAAAACAGATCCCCTTTTCATTAATGTTTTTTTGTGTCCATTTCAAAACTGTTTAAAAACTTTGCCCCATAAAGGCCCTTAAAAAAAGGGGTTTCATTAACCCGGGGATTTTTTAAAGTAAAACCCCGTTGAAAAAAAACAATTTAAAACTCTTTTCAAAAACCAAATTAATCACCTAGCCAAATGCCTTAAAAACCCCGTACAAAAACTCACCTTTTTACCCCCATCATAAACTTAAAAAATCCCCTTTTGAAAACCCTTTATCCAAATTGGGTTTACAGGAATTTAATTGAACCATTGTTTTTAAAAAAAGCAATTTTTTGACAATTTTAAAATTTTCCCCTTTTTTTATACAAATTTAATTACTTTAAAAATTAAATATCTTCTGTTCAACTTTTTGAAATAATTTTCAAACCTAAAAAATACAATTATGGGTATAATCTTTAGGGTTAAGTAGGCTGTTTAAACAAAAAATGTTTTGTTGGGCCCTTTAAAGCCTAGGCATAATTAGGCTCCTTTGCATTGCAACCATTATTGTAAAATTTAAAACTAAAGTTCTGTTTTCAAAGACCAAAAAAATAAATAAATTAAAAACAATTTAAAAAATAAAAAAAATTTAAAATTTAACCCTAAATAAAGAGATTTTTGGTAGCCCAAGGGGGGGACTTGTTTGGTTTTTGGGGGGGCCAGGTGAAATTGTAGGACTTGTGGGGGCCAAAGGGGGAATTTTTAGGACTTGTGGGAGCCAAAGGGGACTTGTAGGACTTGGGGAGCCAGGAGACTTGTGGAAATTGTGGGAGCCAGGTGAATTTTTTTGGAATTGTGGGAGCCAGGGACTTTAGGGGTTGTGGGGAAACCAGGAGCTTTTAGGTTTTTTTGGGAAGGGCCCGGTGACTTTTAGGACTTGTGGGGGCCAGGGGGACTTGTAGGACTTGTGGGAGCCAAAAGGGGACTTGTAGGACTTGTTTGGGGCCCGGAGACTTGTAGGGGCTTGGGGAGCCAGGGGGACTTGTAGGACTTGTGGGGGGCCAAAGGGGACTTGTAGGGGCTTGTGGGAGCCAGGAGATTGTAGGGGCTTGTGGGAGCCCCGGGGGACTTTTTTAGGACTTGGGGGGGCCAGGTTTTCTTTTAGGACTTGTGGGGGGCCAGGAGACTTGTTGGACTTGGGGGGAGCCAAAGGGACTTGTAGGACTTGGGGGACAGGGGGGACTTGTAGGGGCTTTTTGGGAAAACCGGAGACTTGTAAAAGGGCTTGTGGGGGCCAGGAGACTTATGGACTTGTGGGAGCCAGGTGCTTGTAGGAATTGTAGGGCCGGGGACTTGTAGGATTTTGGGGCCGGGAGAATTGTAGGACTTTGTGGGAGCCGGAAAACTTGTTGGTTGTGGGAGCAGGTGGGGTTTTTAGGACTTGTGGGGGCCAGGAGACTTTTAGGATTGGGGGAGCCCGGGAATTGAGGACTTGTGGGAGCCAGGAGACTTGGGAGGATTGTGGGAGCCAGGAGACTTGTTGGACTTGTGGGAGCCCCGGGGACTTGTTTGGAAATTGTGGGAGCCCGGAGACTTTTAGGACTTTTGGGGGGCCAGGGACTTTTAGGACTTGTGGGGGCCCCGGGGAATTTGTAGGACTTTTTGGGGCCAGGTTTACTTGTTTGGAAAAAGTGGGGGGGCCAGGGGGACTTTAGGACTTTTGGGAGCCCGGAGGGCTTATAGGAATTGTGGGAGCCCGGAGACTTTTTAGGAATTGTGGGAGCCAGGGGAACTTGTAGGACCCTTTTTGGGGCCAAAGGGGACTTGTTGGATTTTTGGGTGCGGAGACTTGGGGAAAGGGCTTGTGGGGGCCGGGGGGACTTGGGGGATTGTGGGACCAGGAGGGTTGTAGGACTTGTGGGGGGCCAGGGGGAAATTTAGGGGCTTGTGGGGGGCCAGGAGGGCTTGTAGGACTTGTGGGGCCAGGGACTTTTAGGACTTTTTGGGGGGCCCGGGGATTGTAGGACTTGGGGGGGCAGGGGGACTTGTAGGCTTGTTGGG